ACATTCCATTCATTTAAATTCTTATAATTTTTTATATTATAATAATACTATTGAATGATAAATTGTAAATGAACATGAACATAATAAACAAATATTCCCTTTTGTAATATAAATTTATACGTATATAAAAAAAACGAAAAAGAAATATATATATATATATGTATAAATATATATGTGATTTTTTATTTTTATATTTTGCACAATTTGATATATCTTGCAAAAAAATCACTAATATAATCACTTAATTTTTTTTAATTTTCGATGTTTACTTAAAATTATTTTGTTCTTTCTTTTTAATTACAGTGATAGACAATCGAGGACGGACTTTTTTCACTATAATTTATCACTTATTTTTCATTATCATTGTTCGTCTCGTCACTCTTCCACAAAATAAACCAGTAATGAAAATAATACCAATCATTGTCAAAGCAATGATCATAAAATATCGTCTTGCAGGAGACTGATTTACTGTTGAATATAATTCTTGTATTGAATTTGGTCCAATTAACTGTAAATAAATAAATAAATAAATGAATTCTTATTTTTATAAATTATAGAATAGATATTTTTCTAAATACTATACAAAAATTTATTACTTTTGCTGCATTCCTAAACATTTCAATCCTAGTAGTTAACATTTTGTAACAATCGGGTTGTAGAGACTTGTTATTGTCTTCTAATACATTTTGTAAACACTTGATATCTAATAATAATAAAATTTTGATTTATATTTCCAATACACATAAAAAATTTTTTTTTGTTTAATTTATAAATTAATTATATAAATATTTGTTTACGTACGTCTGCCTGCACCTTGCGGAACATCACTGCAATATTTACTGATATCAACAGCACATGCTTTTTGTAATAATGGATCTACATTGATATCTGCTCTTCTTTGCTCTATTAAATCAGCAATTTCAAGTCGACATTCTTCTTTCATATCTCTATTACCAGCATTAAATTCCATTTTCAAACATTCTTCTACTGTTCCAGAATCATTTTCATTTGTTCTACAAATTGTTTCTATCTGTTCCAAATAATTATATATTATATAAATAATTATTATATTAATAAAAATATATTTATTTTTTTCGTGTAATTAATTTAAAAATAATACCTCATGTGCACACATTGTGGCTAATAATGGATTTAAATGATAATTTAAGGCTGCCTCTCTAAGTATGTTAGTCATTTGATGTTCACATTTTGTTAAAAGTTTAGATTCTCTGAATTTAATTTTTAAACATCTTATAACTTTTCCTTCAAGTTCTTTATCTGTAGGTTCATTTAATAACACCTAATGAAAAAATATTATTTGTTTAATGAAATAGTAAAAAACAAAAAAAATATTATCAGTAACATATTTTTACCTCTTTACAATGTTTATTAATATCATAAGAACATGCTATTTGTAATGCAGTATTAAATCTATAATCTGTATTTTGTTCAATCATTCTTCGAACAACAATATTTTTGCATTTATCATCAAATGTTGGTTCATCTTTATATTTTTTTAAACAATCTAATGCTTGTGAACGGCTGATATCATGACAGAATTGCTTGACCATTATTCGACAATTATTCAACAAAGCAAAATCACTTGAACTATCTTGAAATTCTTGTTTTCTTATTTTGAACAATTGTTTATGACATGTATCGGATAATTTTGATTTATGTGCTGCTAAACATTCAAGAATCTATAAAAATTATATTTATATTAATATTGAAATAATAATAGAAAATTGAATAATTTAAATAAGATAAATATACACATCAACCTGTGAATTTCCTGGTTCAAGATTATAACAATATTGTTTAATATCATTCATACATTGTGCTTGTAAAATAGGATCAAATTGAATATTTTCTCTTTGTTGATAAAGTTGTGCTTTTAATTGTTGTCTACATTCTCTTGGTATATGATGCTGTGTATCTTTCATTATATCTTCTTGTACTCTTGTACTTAAGCATTCTATTACATCTGCTTTAGTTTTAGACCTAAATATTAAATTAATATATATTTTTATCAATTAAAATTTTTATAAAATATTTAAGAAATTGTATTAAAAATTTATTTACTTTGGACACCATCTCTTAACAGAAGGTCTACAAGCTTCTTTAAATTTATATGTAAAGTGGTAATTTTTTAATGATATTAATTGAAAATGTTCTACTGCTGCTTTACATTTATAATCAGATCGCATATTAAAATCATTTTTATGTTCTATTAAACATTCCATCATGTCACCTTCATCTTTACCATATTTTAATATTTCCTATATTTTATAAATTTCTTATATAAATTATAATTAATAAAAAAATATATATTATTTGTTAATATTTAATTTAATTTTTTAAAAAGTTATATACCTCACAATAACGTTCCATGATATCTTGACATACAGCAGAAATTATTGGATTCAATTCAACATGTTCTGCTTGCTCTTCTGTAAAATTACCAACTGCTAATTTACAATTTCTATTTAAACTGCAAAAAAAAAAAAAATAAATAGATTAAAAATATAATATAAAAATTTAATTTTTATATAATTGAATTTATTATTACCGATCTAAATTATCTTGGAGGCATAATATTTCTTCTCCTTTTGCTGTTTTATCATAACAAAATGATGCTAATTCATTCAAACATACTTCTTCAATTTCAGGTTGTAAATCAACATTTATTGCTCTTTGTCTCATAACACGTCTAATTTCTTCAATACATTCTGTTTTTAACTGAAATAAATCAATTCAAAAATAATTCAAAAATAAATTTTAAATAAATTCATTTACAATGTTATTTGTGAAATTATGTAAATTCCTACTGTCATATTCTTTTGAGGATGATATACATGTCTATATAAACATGGTAAAACAAGAGGTCCTCGTTCTGGATCCATTTGTTTCCCATCATTGGCCCATGCATTTCTTGCATGACATAAATGTATTGCATCAAATTTACATGCTCTATATAATTGAGGATCTAGTTCAAAATCTCTAGCTACAAAATATTGTATTTGAATTAAAGCAGTTTCACAAGCTTTTGTCATTATTTTTGTACCAAGCTGTTCCATTAAACATGATATTACTCTAGCATCACCTCCGTGTATCTATATTTAAAATAAATTACAATATTGCTTATTTATTTAGTTAGATATTATTTAGATTTCTTAAATTTTTTCTCATTTGATTAAATATTTCTTACATCTCTACAAGCGCGATTGACAACAAATTTACATTGTTCTCTTAAAATAGGATCAATTCTCCAATCTTCTCCAGCATCAGTTTCCGTAATTAATTCTTCTATCTATTAGTATGACAAAAGATATTTAATTACTATTTATAATTATATAATTTTTTATATATAAAAATATATAAATATATAAATATTTAATTACCGCTCTTTGACATTTACTAGATATCCTTAATTTTTTTTTCTTGTTCTAGTATGTTCCATTAAACAATGAATTGTTGCACCACCAACTTTTAAATTATTACAAAAGGTTGTAATATCATTAGCACATCCATCAACTATTTCAGGAGATAATCTATAATCTTCCATTAAAAGTTTTCTATGATCAAACATTTCAGCTTGACAATCCCCATCAATTTTGCTTCCATTTTTTGCTGCTGATTCCAAACAAAGAAGAATTTGTGCAAGTCTTATGTTTTTATCTTCAAATGCAGATCTTCTACAATGATTAATTTTAATATCATCTTTACAAGCTTTAACCAATCCTTTACTAACTTTGTAATCAGATGCAATTAATTTTCCTCTTCTTGTAAGTTGTTCTTGACATACTGCTGTCATAGATCTATTTGTTTTGTGTTGCATTAAACATTTATATACTTGACCACTCCCAGGTCTAATATTTTGACAAAATTCACTGAGATCATTTTTACAAGCCAAATATAATTGATGATCTAATTTGATATTTTCTGCTTGTATTTCAGATACATGAAGAATGTGTCTTTTACATTGAAGTTGAAGTTCATTAACATGTTCTTGTAAACAAGCCAATATTTGTCCTTGTGATATATCTCTGTATGGTTGTAATTTGTCACATTTGAATTTTTTAATATCATTTTCACAATCTGAAGAAAATGGTCCTATTATAATCCTAAAATCATTAACTGCAATCCATTCTAATCTTTGAATATATGCAATGCACTTAGGATTTTTGACTTTTTCTTTTTGATCAATTAAACATGAAAGATATGCTCCATGTTTTTTGCCAAAACCAGAACAATCTAATGAATCTAATTCTCTACCACAAGTTTTTTTAGATAAACGTTCTATATTTGAATTATCTGTAATGTTTAAGATATAATCCCAAATGGCTTGACGACATTCATCATCAATACCAGACATTTCAGTTGGCTGTAAAATAAAAGTAAATAGATAAAAATAATAATTTTATTTTATTTATTTTATTACATACCTTGTTTTATGTTAATTACAAATGATTAGAAGCTATACCTTAAAATTTTGAATGCATTCTAGTAACATTAATTCGTCATTATTTTTAGTTACATGACACAAGCGATTTAAATTTTGTCGGCATTTGATATTCATAGATTTTAATAAATTATCTTCAGTCAAATCAATTTTGGCTCTTTTAACTCTAATGGAATTATCAATAGAATTGCTGAATAACCAACTGATTTTTGGCATATTTTCACCATTATTTACATACTCATCTTTAAAATAAGTTCTTGTCAAATGAGCACAATTTAGCACCGATATATGTAAAAAAATTACAAACAAAATGTTTGTTATATTTATTTCCATCCTTATGAAATAGATTCACTTTTTTAATTAAAATTTATTTTTCATGAAATACATTACACTACTTTTACGTTTTTATAAAAACTCTTCGTGTTTTTTTTTTATTTTTTTAATTGTTATTATGCACTATAATATAATATCGTCACGAATAAGTATAATAGTATACTCGTAACAGCAAACTTTGAGCGGACAGATATCTCTCTATGTAATACCTATTATCTATAGTTCTAATAATTTGATTTTCAAATAAGCTTAAAAGAATTGAAAAGCAGAATTGATTTCTTATACAACAATTAAATTATACATTTAATGTTTTGCATGATATAATTTATAAAAAAAGTAAAAATATTTTAATAATTTAAATAATTTTTAATATAAATCATCTTGAATATAAATTTTAATATTCTATAAAATATTTATAGTTTCCAATTTTATAAAAGTAATTTTTAAAAATACAATAATAAAATAATATTAATTTAAGCTTAAATAATATCATTATATCTGTGCGAATATAATTCTGATAAATAAGAATTATTGTTTTGTAATATTTATCTTCTAGTGAAAATGCTCCTTATTGTATGAGTAATATTACACAATGTTGGCAAACCTGATAATTGAGTATATATTTCTATCTCGTCGTCTGCATTAAAGGGCAAGTGACAGTTCGAGCTTTATTGTTGACATTCGTATGAAAATTATACTATCGTGTAGTACTTGTAAAAATGTAATTTTGATTATAATTAATATTGAAATACAAGTGAATTTCTTTTCTTTGATAATAAGAACTTTAATAATAAGAATAATTAAACGATTTTAGTGAATTGTGTATCCATAAAAAGAAAACTATTAAATAATAATCGATGTTTAAGAAAGTATAATTATATAGAATTAATAAATTTAAAACGTTTAGCGCATGCAAGTTTAATTTATTTATAGATTTTTCGATTGTTCCATATTGATTATTATCATTTAATAGCTCTAACAATGACTGGTTATTGGAAAACTTCGTTCGAGACACCGTCGTAAACGTTGTTCTCAGTAGTATGTTCTCGATAGTGAATATAAAGTGAATATAAAGTACGTGTGTAAAAGTGAATCAATCCGTATGGTATTACGTGCAATTACAGCGTCACTTTCTAAAAAAAATTAATAATTTTTTTGATTGGTACTTAATTTTTGTAATAATCTTATTATAAAAATTATTATCATATCTTAAAAATTTATATAATAAGTTTTAATTTAATCTTATAAAAAATTATAAAAATTTATTTATTTTATACTTTAATATTTTTCTAAACATATATAATTTAATTATTTTTCTAAACATTAGTGACTTAATTTCATTTTAAATTTAAATTTAAATCATTTAAATTTTTTTTAATAATTTTCATTTTATTCAATATATTAAAGACACAACGTTTATTAAACACATATTAATATTATACTCAACAAATATAATTTAATTCAAATGAGTTATATATAATATATATTTTATTTACTGAATAAAAAAAATTTATTATATAAAATAATATATCGTTTATATCATTTAACAATCAAAAATAAATTCGCATTAAAATTGATATACAACATAATATGATATAATATTTTGAATAGCGATAAAAAATATTTTGTTGTATATATACCACACTTAATCAACGATTTGAATATATTTTGTATTTCTATATATAATATTATTGACCGTTTTTTTTTAGTTAATATATTAAAAAAAATATATATTGTTCTAATTTTATAATTTTATATGTAAAGTAATGGGATATAACTAACTCGCGTATCCATCCTTGACATTTTTTGGCTCTATTTATAACGTTGTCATTAAATGTTTATTATAGTTTTATATTTAATTTTTTTTATGAAATACATTAAAATTTAATAATTATTTTGAATTAATATTTATTATATATTAATATTTATGATAGTTCATGTAATTCTGAAAATAATTATGATATCATTATATCATAATTATTATTATCTGATCTTTTTGGCTTTACCTTGAAGATTTGAGGTCCAGTGAGTGAGGAAATCGATCAGTGGTTCCTGTTGTATATAGTAACGAAAATAAAGTAATCGATTCGAATCGGTGAAATTGTGGCTGAAGTGATAAAACGGATAAAGAGAAAGACGGTTTCGGCATGATCTGTGGAGGTAGCAAGATCTTGTTAGAAATATTGGGCGGGGAGGAGGAGGCATGGAAGCTGAAGCTGGTCGGCAGTCTCACCATCAGAGGCTGCAGCTTACCCTGTCATCCCCGGGAATCCCCGGACTGGACGTCGTGAGAGCATTGCATCAGGTTTGAATCAATGAATTCAATTAATTCTTCCAATTTTGCTACGATTCATGATATATATGATTTAAATTATTATTATAGTTAAATTTTTATTTATTTTATATTATATTTTCTTTTCATTTGATTTAAAATAATTTTATAACATCATTGAATTAAAGAATATATAATTGTAAATTAAAGAATATAAAACTCCTACAATTTTCTTATATTAGATTTAGATAATAGAGTTTAAATGTTAAAAAACTAATTTTAATATTTTTTTTTTCCCCTAAGAATAATCGATTAATCCGAGACATCAATGACATTAAATTTAATCTTCTTTTTCTCTGATCTTCTAAATTAATCTTCTAAATCTGATGATATAATAATATATAATGATAATATATAATATATCTCTATATTAATATGCTTCCTTTATATTATTTCATGTTGAATTATATTTTTTGGATTTAATTCCGTATTAGATTTTCATTATATTTTTTATTTGATTTCTGTTATACGAATAGTTACAAATATTTTATTTTCTATTGCGAAATTTGAAATTTCTGATAATTTATTCGTGCAATTTCACAATAAATTAGATAATATCAATTGATTGGTGATTTTTATAATAGCATAATAGCAATAATAGCACATAATATGAATAGATATCTTTTTTTAAAGAAAATATCAATATTTAATCATTATATATGTATAACGAATCAAATCATATAAGTACAATTTTTTTCAAATATTCATCCATAATCTTAATTAATTCCTAATATCTTTGTTTGAATAGTAATCTGTAATTGTTATAATAAATTATTTTATTATACATTTAACTAAACTAAAATTTATTGTTATCGCATATGATATAATGATTGTTTGTTAAGAAAATAATTGATATAGTTTGAAAAAAAAAATTAATGTTACTTGATATATGATGATTGGAAATTAAAAACGAAAGAATTGCTTTACCTTCGTATTATTTTTCAGCTTTCGCTATACTCTACTCTGATTTTTATTCTAAAATATTCTTTTTATTTATAAAATTTTTATTTTAAAACATTCTTCTTAGAAAATTTTAAAAAGATATTTAAAAAAAAAATTTAAATATTTCTTAAGATGATAATATTAAGTTTAAGACGATATTGTAAAGTTTAAACTTAATCTACATAAATTCAAATATTTTATGTTTTAAGTACTTTAGAATTTTTTTGTTTCGCACTCTTTTTATATATCTTTTATATTTGATTTAAAATATTTAAAATATAATGATAAATGGTAATTTTTAATATAATCCTTTCAGACTGTGATATCTTTGCGTTCTGCGCTGGATTCCTCACGGGAAGAGCTTCGTCGTCTTAAAGAGAGCGTTGGTGATTTTTCTGGCGAAAGCTACGTTAATGTTATTGAGAGGCTCGCTCTTGAGAATCACGTCCTTAGACGAAAGATCCTAAGCAGGAGCAGTGAGTTTTCTAGCGATGCTGCTACAAGTCCGCCGCCTCAGGTCCTCCTTTCTTCACTCGCAGTAGAGGACGTCGAAGAGTAAGTCTATCTCTGAATTTTGCTCGATTATCATGAGGATCTTGGCAAAGGAAGCCTTGTTTTATCGCTTCTTTTTGTCAATCGTAGTAATATTAACGTGGGAAAACGATTTTTTCTATTTGCATGCAAAAAATGGTGTTCCAACCAGTCACGTTGACGCGAAACGATCATTCATTTATTCATCGTTTGTTATTTGATTTTAACTTTGCATTTCTGTTTTGTAGCCCATATTTTTAATTGAGTCGTTAATAAAAAGTTATTTTGATTAAAGCAATTTATAATGTAATTATACTTTTCCATTTTTATACAGTATAAAAAGATATACAGAATTGGAATAAAATATTGCACAACCTGTCTTGTCAAAACCATAAAAACGTTCAGAATATAAGTTCAAAATAAAATATTTGCGTAATTCGATAGTTAGCAAGATGGATCGCTAAACGGACAAGCTTCGTGGTGTTAGCGTTAATTAAAAGGAACGCGTTTCGTTCTCGATGTTGTAACTATTAATAACCATGCGTAGCGTGTATACGCGGTTGCTTTCTCGCTGTCATTCTCACCCTGTGAACGGTATCAGTCTGTCAGAGGAAGTAGGCGTACTCATGGACGAGTCCAGGGACGAACTAGTCGCGGAGGACATGCCAGAGACATCTAAACCGGTCATTGGACCGCGTGCCGACACCAATGTTGGAAATAACAATGAGAATCCCGATTATTCGCAATCTCGTACAGCCGAGAAAGTGTCCAAGAATCATGCAGAATCATCCTTCTCGAAATCAGAATCTAAGGATATCGGATTGAAGTGCACCATGTCTAAGAACGCTATTTCCGTTAAACCTTTAATTGGAATATCTAGCTTCGATTTGGATGACACGTTGAAAAACGAGGCTCCTGCTTTGCCTAATATTAGACAATCCAAAGACGTTGAGGAGGAGGAGGAGGATGGGAACGAGGTTCAAGTTGATCATTTGGAGGTGCAAGAGAAGGATCTCGAGGATCTAAGTTTGAAATCTGTCTCCGATGGAGACAACTCGGTGTTCAGCGATAATCCGGACACGCAAGTGTCGCAGCAAAATCAACGTCAAAATCAAACGGCGGATCAACCGAAACCGAACGATCAATCCGAGAATGAATCCGAAGAGCTCGATGACATCGAGTTGATATTCACGAC